GAGGAGAAAATACTCCTCCCCCTTTCAAGTGACCGTGCCAACCCAACCGACTGGCAGAGCAACTTACCCGGAACACGGTTCGTCACTCAACGTTTTACGACTGTTGTTATTTTTCCTCTTTAACCGCAAACGATTTGTCCAGAGAGGGGCGTTGGTACATATAAGTTGAAGTGTATAATATTGTAACCCATTACGCAGTTGGATCGCGTGTCCTGCTCTGGCAATCGGTGTCCGATTACGACGAGTTGGCGCGGCGGCAAAACGACGATCACACGGTGGACGCGAGGAAAGTAGGGCCCCGTAGGGAGGGCGGCAGATAATATCGGACTTGGAGCGTTAGGTTATCGAGTAAATACAATAATAGCTGTGGAAGGGGAGTTTCGGGTTGCGTAGACTTCCCTTTTAATGGAAACACAAGGCGGTTTTCAGCTAACCCTCGCCGCCCCATCCATCGGGAACACTAATTGTTTTACACGCCTGGCTTATGGCAGCTGATAATGTCAGTGATTCTCGAAAAACAAATAAAGGCCACTTGACTACCGGGTTCCCTTGTCAACAAAAACCACAGTCGTCACTCTTTTTATTATTGCTCTCCCTCGATTCCAATTTTTTCCTACTTCACCCGACACTGCCACCGTGATCATCAAATACTATTCGAATTTCACGGCTCCGTGCGCGTGTAAATTTTTTATATTTAATGTTTACCTTTGACCTTTCTCGGCATGTTTGCCCAATAAGAAAACTTTTTAACCACTCGGCGGATTTTAAAGACAAACATTTCGAAATCGGAAAGCGAAATAAAACTCTAAGATGACCGTTTTATACGACCTAGTCTGGTCGGTAAGTCGGAGAGTATGTGTACATTGTATGAACCCAAACTAAAAGGACGTCTGTGCCGGCGACGGTGAGGAGACTGAGTAATTTATGTACGAGGTACTTAATACGTTAGGAACTGTACAGTCTACCCAAGTTTGTAAGTACGTGACTGAAACACGGACAAATATAATAGCTCATTAATTCATTTTACAGCAATACTTCAATTTTCATTAATTTCATAAAAAATAAAATCGTTTTTACAAAACGAACTACTTCTCTGTTCAATGTACAATCGAGTCTAGAATAAAAGTCATTGCACGTTTTAAGTACCCAAGATCTTTCAGGTGTTGATAAATAAATTTTAAAAATCAATAAGTTTGTGTGTTGTAAAAAATATTATTATTATTAAACAAATCAAGAACTCTTTATTATTTGTACACTAATTTGTTAACAAATGGACGGCATTGTGGATGAAATCACGCAAAGTATANAATTCATTAGAAGCAAAAGTAATATTTCATATTGTCTTTTTATAGACAGGTATGTTTTTTAAAGATTATTATTCATTCAAAAATAAAAATTATAATCCGAGAATGAGAATGAGCATATAATAGTGCGTAGAAGTGACAAACAATCTAATGACTTTGGCATATAATGCTTAAGTAATAATAATGGTAATGTGAGGGCGACGTAGTTGATGATAGCACCAAAAGTGGTATAAAGTACAAAGGGCGAAATAAAACTAGAAGGGTGCCGGTGTTTGAATCCTGTCACTGACACCCTAACATAACAATAACCTCATTAACATTACAATCGATTGGTATCTAACTATAATTAACTTTAAATCACTATCAAAAACATTTTATATTCGAATTAATATTTTCTCGGTCTTAAATCAAGTGCCACGCTTTATATCAGATGCAACTAAATAGGCCATTTATAAAAATGTTCAACATTTCAATGCAAATTTAAATCGTTTTAATAAAATAATTACCATACGATCGAGACTAAATAAATAAAGTAGTAGAAAAAATGTAAAAGTAAATTGTATCTCTCGATGAACGGCAATACTACTAGAAATAAATAACACGGTAATC